ACGGTACGCCGATTAAATTTCGTGCTGATAGCGGAGCTGATGTTTCGGTAATCGGTACTAAAACCTAGAAAAAGCTGGGATCTCCAAAACTTAGTATATTCCACGGAAGTTGTTCAAATGCTGACGGCAAGCGTATATCTTTGAAAGGATATTTCACTGCCAAATTTACCTTCGGCGACAAAACGATTAATGACCCAATAACTGTTCTTCCTCGTCGCGAGTCTAATTTGCTTTGTGACAGAGTATTGGAATACCTTGATACTCTTCTGTGGCAGAACAAAACTTCTGATTCTGTTGATATTAACGCCTTCTCCGGTCATATGTTGACAACAAGTTTTTCAAGATTATTTCAAGGAGATCTCGGGATGTGCTCGAAAACAAAGGTGCAGCTAATTCTAAAGGAAGACGTTAAGCCAGTTCATATACATGCTCGACCGGTTGCTTTGGCAATTCAAGAACAACTCGGTGCGGAGCTTGATCGTCTTGTGGCAAGTGATGTTATTACGCCGGTTGATTCATCTGATTGGGCTGCTCCCATCATGGTTGCTAGAAAAGCTAATGGGAAGATTCGTCTCTGTACAGATTCTTCTACTGGTCTAAACGACGCTTTGAAAGATATTACTTATCCTATTCCTAACACGGAGGATGTTATGGCCAACTTTTCCGGTAACACTATATTTTCTCAGCTGGATCTGTCTGATGCCTATCTTCAGCTGCGTCTTGATGAATCTAGTCAGAAGCTGACAACAATCAGCATCCACAAAGGCCTTTTCCAGTAAAATCGTCTTGTTTTTGGTCTCAAGCCAGCTCCTGCTATTTTCCAGAAGACAATGAATCAAGCCCTTTCCGGTATTGAAGGTACCTTGGTCTATCTTGATGACATACTTATTATGGGACCAGACAAATTAACTCACGATCAACGTCTTCATGCTGTACTGCAAAGACTTCAAGAGTGGGGCTTTCGTCTTCAGCTTGGAAAGTGCAGTTTCTATGTCCCCAAAGTGAAAAACTTAGGCATGATTATTTCGGCAAACGGCATTGAAGCGGATCCAAGCCGTATTAGTGCAATTCAACATCTTCGTACTCCTCAGAGCCAGAAAGACGTTCGATCATTACTGGGCCTTGTGAATTATTATGGAAAATTTGTGCCTTCTCTACA